ATTACACGTTATTAATTTTTTTATTATTTGTAATATTATTTTTAAAAAATTTTAGAAAACGTAAGGATAAATATCATGTCTCAGAACATAGAATTAGTGAATTTTTCAAGCATTATGGCAAAATTAGTTTGAAGATGCAAGAAACGTTACCCAACTTTAAAAATGTATGACCAATGTAACATATGTGTAGCCTCATTAAAAGAATCCTTTAAATTCGCTCGACCTTTTTCTAATAACAAAGCAGATATATTTACCTTCCAAAAACGGTCATGAGAAAATAAATTTGAGTAAATGAGAGAAAGTAAAAGCGAACAATTTATTTCAACGCTAAAGAGAGCTGTTGGCCTCATGGCCACAGTTAATATGACAAATCTACTCATAAAAAAGAAATATTCTTTCTATTATTAAAGCGAAAAATCTTTTTGTTGAGAAGGCAATATTGTCTGTCATTGTTTATCAGAAACAAAAAACATAAAGAACTTTTGCTTGTTTGATTAATCAAACGATTCAAATAATTTATAACGCTAACTATCGTAAATTTTCCTGAAACAATTTTTTTTTTTTTTTACAGCTTATATCATACTAAAGAATATATTAAAATAATGTTTCTCTTATACCAAATAGTTTTTTACTACTTATACGACTTTTCATTTTTAAGTACATACCACAGCGTTACATTGTTTTATATATATATATATATATGAGAATTATTATCAATAAAAAAATAAAACCACCGTAAAATAACATTAGATTTGTCAACTTCTATCATGTCATTATAATTGACCATATAATGCTGCGATATATAGAATTGCACTGCCATTTAATTGTCGGTGTGACCAGGTGGCCAGGGCGAAAATTCTCTTCTTTCATTCGTCGTCTCACTCTCTTGTCTATTCGGGATGTATAGCTACAACTGCCACTTCGGCCGACTTACATTCTTTTTAAAAGCTGTAGAAACGGAAACGTAGCGGAAAACTGAAAAGCAAATCTGGCAGGGTGGTCAGCGGAAAATGATCGGATTAACTCGACTTCGAAGAGAAGGCGGGATACCCTCCTCAAATAGCAGATTAACTTGGTGGTCACTTTGCGGTTGTGCGTTCGCCAGTTTATGTTAAACATCATAACGACCGCACTTTAAACTCAGTGTTCAAGTTAACGATTTGATGAAGAGTAGCTAATGGTAAACGGGACTTACCATTTAAATCCATCTGGCTCTTAAAGCCACATGAATTTGCGTCGCAAATGATAGGACTCGTTAATATATAAATAAGTATAGTAATATCCTGTATCTATCAAAAGGTGATTTTCGATAGCTCGAACTCTCTTTGCAATTAAATAAAAAATTTATTCCGATTTTTATTCAATATCTTCAAGATCATAATCATTAAGAAAATAAATAAATGATTAAACAAATAGACGTTAGATAAAGTATATTCTTCATCAAGTTTGTAATTATAAAAAATACTTTGGCATATAGCGCCAAACTTAATATATAATTCAATTTATATTTATACAATTGAATTATATAACATAATTTAATTCAACGTCTATAGAAAATATATTTAAGTGTACAAAAGAATTTGTAATATTCTGGTGGTAACAGTTAATAATAGTTTTATGCAATGGACAATATGAAACGATGTTTTAAACATGAAACATGAAAATTTACGACGTACAGTCAACTCAATATTTCTTTTGGTGCTTCTTTGAATCTCGAGCCGCCAAGAATAAAGAAAAAAAAATGTCGGTAAGGTCAAATAGGGCTAAATTCTCTTCGTGGAAACACTCAGTCAGCAGAGTGGCCACTTGAAATTTTGTATACGTTTGGAATTTTTTGAGTAACCGGAAACGGAAAACGTGGTACAATGAATAGACACTCGTCTATTTTACTGCATATCTCGCCATTATTATCGTAATTTTAGTACCTGAAAGCTCAGAAACACACCTGAGACTGATCTTCTATTTACTGAGGTACGTGTCGACGAGACTTTTTCGGAAAAGTCCTCGGAACACCCCGCTATCCCGTGACTCTAACTGTGAATTTTCTTAAGACATCGCATTCACAAATAGAGGATCTTTCACGAGAGTGTGTAAAAGTTTAACATCAATGCTCGACTACCATTAGATTTCAAAGGTAATTGAAAAGGGCACACATTCTCTCTCTTTGTTTTTTTCACTTGAGTGCTAGCTCTTGAGTGGCTATTAAACTGCAAAAATCCCCAGTGACTCTACACGTTAAAAATGGAACAAAAAAGCTTTTCTTTGCTCGAGCCTTTTGAATACGGATTTTCCTGTGTAATGTGTTTTTATTGAAACTAATATCCTGAAAAGCATGAAATGAGAAGATACTTTAAATTAAAAAGATAGCACAAATAATCTTTAAAAATATAGCAATTATATAAAAAAAACTGACATGTAAAAAAAATGATTTGTTATTATGATATCACGCATTAATTGCTTTTTCTCGCGTTTTATATTTCATAGCGTTTCTCATAGTGACTTATTATTTTTCCAACGAACAATAAGGTAAAATAAAACATATTTTAATCTAATTATTAATAAATTTTACATTGAACTATAGAATTCTTTCTTTATTGCAACAGACATATACCTATCTTGAGTAGAAATAAAATATTAAAAATATTAACCACGAAAGAAAGCAGTTTTCACTGTATTAGAATTATGTATTTATTAATATTTACATTTAATATAATCAATAAAAAAGTCGTGCTCTTTGACGATGTTGGTCGAAATAACTCTCTCATCGTAACCATCTGGAAAAGAAATCGACGGAATTCGGGGAGCGGGGGAACACAATCGAGCCTTACGTTCATTCATAAGTTGCTACAAAAAAGGCAACGGGCTTCACAGGAACATGAATGAACGTAGTACATAGCGTAGTAGGGATTGGGCCCCGGCAACGGGTGGGCAACCTCAGGGTATACTCTTTTAGCATCCTGATTCAAGGGCCTTGTCGAAAAGAGGTCCTTATTTCTTAAAGCGCGTTTTCCATCTCTTTTCCCCTCCACCCGTTTGAGCGGTATTTTGTCAGACGTGATCTAGACTCATTCGCGGCCATCAGCCACCGACGTCGTTTAAGAACCATTTAAGATGTTATTTCAAGCATAACAACAGGACAATTTCACGTTCACGTTCTTTCTCGTTCACTGACAAAACCATTCCGTGCGAAAATGTTCACAAAGTCAGATTTTCGGAGCATTAAAAATAATCCCCCCAAGATTTTGATCATTTTGAAATGTATGTTCATATCAATTGAAGAATTCTAAGAATAATTTTTGTCGAGTACTTTGGGATATTTTTGAAGATACGTGCTATTAAATATTTATAAAGTTACATAATTTTTAAAAATTCTTGTAGAAAATGGTAAATGTGTGTTGTAGAAGATATGTCCTTATCTGGAAATTTTTGGTAAAGATTGAAAGAAAATTTCATAAAGGAAATATATGAAAGTTATTTATTTGTTATTTAAATGCTGGAAACGTTGAAAAGTTTATATTTAATAGCGTATATTTCCCAAAACTTTTTAAAAGTGCTCGGTACAAATGTCTTAGAATTGTTTGATTTACAATATTTACGTATTTCAAGGTGACCCTAAAAATTATTTTTTCAATTGATTTATTTGGTTAATTTTTCGAAGTGTTTCTTCAGCAAAAATAATTTTCAATTTTTCATTTTTCTCTGAAAAGTTTCTTCCATTCTTTTATCTTTCCATATATCTTTGTGACTAACAATAAGCCATAAATAGAAATTATATCAAAGTAGATTGTTACACATAAAAATCTTCTTAATGTTGCATGATTGTTACGTATATTCTTAATTATAATTAAAACAAACTGAAGTATATGCAAAGCGATATATGGACAAGTACATGCAGAAAGAAAAATTAAGGCGGTGACAATGTGTTAAATTAAATAATCGTCCAATTCGACGACTTGCGATCTCGCAGGTGCAATGAACGGGGAAGCGGCAGAATCGTATCGTAGTGGAATACGATTAATCCGAAATTTACGATGGAAACCAACAGGTGTCGGCGTACCGCGTGCGGCCACCCTCTCGCTTCTCTCGTGTGTGTCCCGGCGTGTAACAAGGCGTACCACTCTACGCCGAAGGATTCGCCTAACCGATATGCGTGACTGCTCTTAAATGTTCACTTCCGGTTTCCGGTGCTATCCGCTTAATCAGATATGTTAATCGTCCGCATGAATGCGCGGGGAATCGGGTGATTCTTTTCGAGATTAATGACAGCTTTCCTTGTGAAAAACGAATTAAATCAACGTTGAGGAGTAACAGAACAATCTTATCTTCTCTTCGATAAATTATATAATCGATTAAATTATATATTACTTTGTATGGTTATTTATCAATAATATTAAATTAACTATTGAAAGATTTTTTACTGTTTTTTTTTTATTTAAAGAGAGAAAAGTAATATTTGAGAAGTGATTATTTTAAGATTAATTAATGTTAAAGTAATAGAATTATATTTTTTCTTAACGCTAAAAGTCACTATCTATACTTCTGAGTTTTATTTGACGATGCAAAAAATAAAAAATAGTCAATTTTTCGTCATAATTGTGATTTCTACAAAACATCGCGTTTTTCATTTTTATTGAACTTTTTACCTGTAATCCTCCTCGTTGCTGACGTAATCCGGCGGAATTAGATGCCAGGAAGCGTCGTAACAATCGTCGTATCCAGCTGCCATTTTTCTCACTTTCTCCTCTTCTTGTTGTTCCGAATGTGCCGGCTATGGGTCCAGTAGAAAAAGTTGAGAAATATCCCGCGGAGATCAGAAAAGTACCGTCACGACAGACACATCAGGAAGGGCAGCCAGAAAAATTCTTCCTATTGTCTCAGTGCGTACCTTTTTTTTCGGATACGAGAGACCAGCGTGATTTCATACTCGCGTTCCTCGAAAATTCGACGTGTATTTCGTGTTGAAGCATCATCCCGTATCTTGGAGTAATGATTTTGCGCGATGCAAATTTTGCTTTTCGATGAAACAGAATGTGAGGAAGAAGAACGAAGCTTTTGTGTATCCAATGCGACGCGCTTAAATCACATATGTTGCAATTCTTTTGAAAAATCAATTTTGCAATATTTTATTAAAAACATATTGCTTGATAAAATCGAGCAAATAATAATGCGACTGCCACTAAATACGGAAGGTGTAGAAAATGATTCTCGATAATGAAGTTCAAAGGCTCACTTTTTTTCCAATCTCTTTTGGCACTCGAAAGTGGAATTTAATAATGATAATTATTGGCGAGATAGAATACCAAATTACTCTCATTCGACTCGTGATAGCCGCTTTACTGAGAACTATGTGGCGATATATCGATCACCTATATATTGCATCAAAAATATGGCTACCTGATAGGAGCTCCGGCAACGTTATCTGCGTGATAACACCTACATAGATTAGTTTGACTACCGCAAATCGGTAACGTCAGAGGCGCCGAAATATCGAGTCTCTTCGACCTGTCGAGAAACGAATACGCACTGTATATAATCGTATATATACATATATTTCTCTACATCTATATATTTAAATAAGTTCCAAAAAAATTAATGCTTTCTTCTTATCGGTATTTGTTTTATTCTGCTTTAATCTTACGATCATAAATTGAAGAATGTAATTATGTATGTGCTTCACAAAATAACATGTGTGATTATCTTAATTATATAATATTAAAATTAAAACACGATTTTTATATAATATTTTATATATACACTCTGTATCTCAAAACCGGATGACCTTTTAATGACAGGTTGTTTGTTCAATATTCGATATATTTCTCAAATTCAGATACAAAAAAGTGAAAGTTAAGGAACGTTATTCCAACTTTTCGCATTATATATATCTTTGTAACCAAGTCTTAAATTAAAATTTACTAAAAAGTCAACTCTAAATAAAAAATCTATTATTAAAAAGGCATTCAGCGATTTTATTTATGGATCATATATATAAATGTAAAGTATATATCTTTCAAATGTGTTGCTCGTCTATGCAACTCACGTGTCACTTGATTAGAAAACGAGCAATCTTTATCTGCCGTCTGCTAATCGCACACAGTTATGTGTGATGAAAAAGAAGAAAATTGTGAATTGCTGTATTTATCACGTACTAAATGATTTCAAGATATCGCGATCGAGAGATAATAAGTTGCCATGCTGGAATTTTTTACCTACAGGCTAAGCTGACACAGCATAATTTTGACAAATACGAATGTATTTTTTTTATCATATTATCGATATTATTTCATAATTATATTGTTTTGGTTATTGTATACTTCAGTTTCAATCGTTGATCAATTTCGGTATCAGTATACATGGTATACTCGGATAATTGTCATAAATTATCGCGTCGAGAGTACATCCTCTCAACATGAAAAATTATAGAAGATTAAGAATAAAAAATTTCAGAAAACAATCTCGGATCGTGACTGATCGTGTCTCGCCCTGAATTGCAAATGAGAGTGGCAACAACCATAGAAAGATAATCGGTCAATTGTTGTTGCTACTCGATCGTCGGTTGTACCTCACAATTTGTTAATGACAAGAGACTCTCGAGATGAAGTATCCGCGGCTTAACCGACAAGTGCTACCGAATGGAGCTTGCTATAAGTGCACTTGATAAAGTAACGTTTCCCCTCACTATCTGTATTTATTTATGCAACAATTTACACACACACACACACATATATATATATATGTAGATTATAAATTGTTGCACAAATGCAATTATCGCCGTGAAAACACATCATCCGGTGCGAAAAAGAGAAAAAAGATCGCATTATCTTAAAAATTAATGATACTTGATAGTGTGAGAAAGAGTATTTTTTTGCGGGAGAGAGAGATTTAATATACAATGACGATGATGTAATTTTAAATACGGAGTGTATCTCGCATTATTGCATGGCGCAATCTCTTCGTCAAACCAGGACGGTATGACACCGTTTATCTGTCCATCCAGCACTCTATGACATATGGGTCTAATCTCCGCTTATCGCGGATAAAGCGATAAGGGCGAGTTGTCGCGCGTCGCAAAAAAAAAAAATAAAAAGAAAAAATCGACGCGCCTCGATATCTCTAATAATTTTATGAGAAGGTAATGCGCGTAGAAATTGCGGACGCTGTGATCGTAGTCCGTAGTAAAGGATTAATATAATTTTGAGCGACGCAAAAATTTATGCCATTTATGTAAGATAAGGGGTCGGAACGAAGCTATCAATTATTTTGTCTGCGGTATTGATTTATACTACTTTATCATCAATTGTTGTCGATTATATATATATAGTCGGATTACTTATAGTCGCGACATAATATCGAAATAATCGCTCCACAAGAGACGCATTAGATATATATAATTACGATCAAATAATTTATTATCGTAATAACAAGTACATATCTTTTTAACAATATAAAACAACCTTAGTAACATTATTATACATTCACAAAGAAAATGTTAATTACAATTAACTATTATATAATAAAAGATCATAAATTATAAGATTATAAATTATACCGTTTTCGATTGTGTACACGTGCATTTTTTATATCTTCATGATCAAAATCAAGATGATCGAAATGAATAGAGAAAATAGAGACAACAGAGGATAGAGAGGATATGAGTCATTTTCTATATTTATTTCGTAGTCCTTTTTATAGTATTTTTTAAGAGTGGATAAAGAAAAGAATGGAAAGTTTGCACATATATTGTACAAGATCATATGCATATTGATTAAAATTGAATTCCTCTTATATCTATCAGTGACTCTGAAATATAAGACATACTAATCATTTCTCTGTGCGCGCGGATGTTATTCCGTAAATAAGCGAGTTTACATTCGAGAAAACCAGTTCAAGCAGCAGTTTTAAAGATAACGCGCAGACTTTAGTCATATTTTCGTACGTTGCGTTTTGCATTACTGTATCAAAGAGAAACAAAATACGCACAATTTACTATCGGCAATTATGTAATCGCCGAGATAGATGCGATGTTCGTCTAAATACGATAACACTCGGTGCATACTTTGAACGCACCGTCGCATTTCGTATTCGTCGTCGCTTGTCTAGACAAAGTTTATATCAAAATAGGGAGTGAAGTTCATCGCTGAATCGCGTAAAGTTAATTGACAATTGTCCAATTAATTTCCCCATCGTATCTGGATATTATCCCAACAACAAGTGTCATTCTCGAGCAGCAACGCACGAATTTCAAGCGACTCGCACAAACTTCGACCGTTCATCTTTTTTCCCTATCGTTTCGTGCGCAAACTGTAATTATTCTCGAAAGAGAGAATGATAACTTTAGACCGGTTTGAGTTTCAATGAAATATTCCAACAGAGAAACGTCGAGAAACGTTAAAAAATCGCGATGTTTCGTCGCAATTTTTTGAATTGTTTTTCTGCAAACAATAATTACTCAGTAACCGAGATAACTCGGTAATTTTTTGACGAGGTCGAAAATTTTATACAAGAATGTATATATATATATATCTTGATAGATAGCCCGAGATATCTTTATTATATCTTTATATCTCGGTGACTGCGACAGCGTCCGAGCAAAGATATCTCTTATTCCAAATCCAATACTTAATCCTCGATAATTTTCGTTACTTTCGACGACGTTCGAAACGGAGCGCGATATTCTATCATTGATAATAATCACCCTTTCCGAAGAGAAACTTTAAGGTTTAATTTTCTCTTTCCCGCCCTCTTTCTCTTTCTCTGTTCGTTCTGGTTGATTATTTTTTCCTGCGATTGCCGTGATTCGTACGTTTACCCTTGTGATATTTACTCACGTTTGCGCTGCGTTTCGCGCCATGGTTGGCCCCTCCAGACGTCGAAGACGTCTCTGTCGAAAGAGAATAAAAATCAGATCTTTCAGACGATCTGAATAAATTGGATGACTTAGCAATGTAGCAAAGCCAGCTCATGCAAAGTGCGTAATTGACTATGTACCTGAAATCATTGATGCTGTAATGAAATGTATATCACCATTAGCATACTCGTTCGTCTTTAGGGAGTCTCTCGAGACGCATTCTAGACAAATTAATAATGTGAATACTATTAACTTTATTTATTTAAAAACACAATATACATTTTTATATACATAACTTCAATCAAAAAATCGTCGCAAAAGCATTTCATCGAAAAATGCAGTTTAATGATTTCCATTAGTGCTCTATCGATATTATTTTCTGTACAAACTCTTAATTTTTCTTATATCGGTTGTATAATTATAATAGAATTGATTTCATATATATATATATATATACTTGTTCTTAAGCTTTCTTTTACAATCAGATAACTTACCAAAACAATAAACGACGAATCAAATAAAAAATTTTCTCATGTGAGCATTTCGTGCCGAGAGAGGTGGTGTGTTTCACCTTTAAAATTCAGTTTTTTACAAATTGTTCCCTCAAAAAAACGAAAAGTCGAATTATTTTCTTGATTGTGCGATTTATTATACTAGCGTTTTATTTCGATCGTCTCGTATGTCGGGGTCACCGATAAACTAATAACTAACTAATTTAAAATAATGCGACGAGAGAAAAAAACATGTCAATCTTCTTCAATGAAATTGCTCGAAACTTGATATCGCTATCATATGCGAAACAGTTTCGCTGATAGCGCGAAGTTATGTCTCCCCACATTTCGCTAATATTAAGAGTATTCTGCAACTGATGATACAACCGAAAAGGTAATGATTCCGCGTGAAAAAAATTGGTCCTTCAAGCTTAAAAATTGTCATTATGGTATTAATATTCAGATTTCAAAAAATTTTATTCTGCATTTTTTATTTATTTTTTCACGTAAAATCATTATCTTTCTGGTGATTGTATCACCAGTCACAGGATACTCTGTATAATCGTTAATAACGCTAATCATCATTAATAACATTGATAGCAACCCATCGACGAAACTTGCATGTCCATTATATATGCATAATACTACTGAATGATCTCTATGCGATTATGATATAGCCAGCAATACTGTTGACACGGAAAGCGAATGTACATGCAAGCGAAGCACGTATAACAGGAAGATTAATAATGAAAAGACGAGAAAGCGGCGAAAAAAAAACTCCACGCAGCCACATAGGAGACGCAGGATCACTTACTCTCGGTAATCGGCGCCTTCGGCATATCGTTGTCTGAGCTGATCGGCGAGTAGAAGATCGAATCGCCCTCGCTGGACTTGTCAGGCGTATAACACGTGGGCGAGTCGATACGCTGCAAGAGGCGCTCCTCTACCTGATCACGGCTCTCCCCGGCCGGCAATCTCTGAATTCGTTGAACAGGCACGTTGAACATTTTCGCACCCTTATCTTAAAGCGTCGTAAAAAATGCTCCTCGATACCGATGTATCGTTCGATTTGCGTCGCGTGCGAAAATTGGCATGAGTGTAAAAGAAAAGTTTATATTTGAAAATATGTAAATTATTTTTTTAAATAAATTTCATAACGTTCTTTACGCGTCGTTGATCTTACGCGTTTTTTTTTTTTGAGGAATAAAAAATCAGAACGAAATTTGTTTGAGAAAATGCGATGGTATCCTTTTTTACTCGTGTGTTAGCTTACTCTTGTAATTTCAATTGGCACGAGGCGATCAAATCGAGACATCGAGAAATCGATTGCTCAATATTCGGCGTATTCCTTCTTCCTTAACTATCCATAAAGCCTTTGTCGACGACATATTTTACCTGGTCAAAAACTTGCGAGGCTGCCCGCTCAGCAGCCTGAAACTTCTCGATTTCATTTTCCACTTCTGTTTTCTCGCCACGCATCACGCGTTTAGAGCCTTCAATGAGATCGCAAAGCTCGGCGGAGGACACGTTACCACCATCCTCGTCGACTTCACTGTCGCTATCCTTGTTGCTGTTGTCGCGACTTTCGTTGCTCGAAACGGTGCAATTGGCCGGCTGAAAAAGATGATAGCTGAAACGTGGCCAGATAAAACTTCCATATTACGCAGAAGCACATGCACGCGCGATTAAAAATATAAATGAAACGAACAGCGTATATCGTCCAAGCCGTTGCGGGCTATCTATCGAAGAAAGAGGGTCACGTCAAGTCACTGAGTTTCCTTCATGTTCGCAAATTGAATATGATCGTGAATACGAGATGCTAATTTTGACGCGACTTCGGTGAAAGAATAAAAATGTCAGCTATTTCACATAGCAAATGAAGCAAAATAAACGATTTTTTTATTTAACAATATGATTATTTACTGTATAAAGGGGGAACCTAATTGTCTATAGATTTGTTTACATATTTATTCGCAAATCTGTATTTTATTAATGCATATATCTCGATTACTCACATCGAAATCCTCATCTTCATCGCTGCTTTCCAAGGCAAGTCGATTGATCTTTTCTTCCAGAGTCTCCTCATCCTTATCCTCATCATTTATCTCCTCGTTCTCCTCCGATTCGCTGTGATTTATCAAGTTTCTTTGCTTCTCTGTATTATCTGTTGATTCCGTCACTGATTTTTCTTCCGATGTTATTGTTGCCTTGAAAAAACGTTTCGTTATTTCATCGAATGATAATCTCCGGTAATCTTCGCAAGAGATTTTTGGTAATACATGTAAAAACCCACATACAAAAGACATTGCAATCCGTGGACAAATGTTTAGGAACATAAAATCCCAGAAATATGCAAAATGTCAAACAAGAGATTTAAAATAAAAAACAGTAATATCTCAATATCCGAATAAAATACTCGAAAAAAGGAAAAATATTTTTAGAAACTGGTAATACACCCATACAAAAACAATTTGCATGCACATCTTAATATACTCAAATACATGCGGTTTACACAATCACGTGGAATCAATGATGGATGTTTTCTACTTACTGCATCGGAGTCGAAGATGTTACTAACGTGAATTTTAGTAGGTGGTGGTGATAGGGAAGGTTTGGACGTGTCCAGACAGGACAAGCTCGATAAGGTCAGACGAATGGATTCCATAAGGGCTCTTCTGGTCTCGTTTATCGAGGATTTCTCATCCTACACCCACCACCACAAGACTATTATCGTGCTATTGATCTCATTATCTCTTCGAAGAGCAAAACGCATTTCTTCGCATTTCTTATACATTATCGATCGAAAGAAGCGCGTATGTTCTTACCTTATCCTCTTTTTCCCTCGCCTCACTGTTCTTTACGTCATTCAGTCGCATGCGACTTTTCTGTAAGAATTTTACCTGTCGGGGGAAGCGTTTTGATGATAAACGAGACGTGTGATAAAAAGGATCACAATATCTGAATAACTAAGTAGCAAAATAATATTTGTGAATTTTATAAAACTCTTTCGTGATGGAAAAATTAATGTAGAATATAAAGCTTGCTTTATTATTTCTCTATCGATGCATAATATTAAATTCTGCACATGATGTAAAAACGAGACGTACCAATACACTCGGCGTGACTGGGGGGTAACCTATTACGAAAGCGCCTACGTTCATCGTCATCCTGATTATACGTATCATCACCAAACTCGGCAAGAATAAAATCCACGGCAATGGTCTGACGAATTCCGATTTCCCGTTTTCGTCTAAAACGAGCGAGTTCGGAGCATAAATCTACGACTGATCGCACAATATTTACGAATCGTACCTTCAACTTCCTGGGCAGGTAGGCTCCATTCCGCGCACTTTTCCACGGTCCATAGAAAGTTATCTACGAGTTTCAATGCTGTCTGACCCAACGAGGTTTGCATCGCGATCGATTGCAGCAATCTCAATTCCGGGCAGATGCCATCATTTTCCGGCGTATCCTTGATTGTCTAACGAACGAGTAAACAATACAATTTATTCGATTATTCGGCTGCTCATCGTATTTTTCTGCAGATGTAGTTTTGGAATACTCACTGCGGTTGATGAACTTTTGCATTCCATGGTCATGTTTATGTCGAAAGTTAAATCACAGCTGGAAAAAATATTAAAGACATCATAAACGGTCTGTTTACGAGTTTAATTTTGAAGCTACTCGAGTTTGAACATAATTACATTACATCTATTTAATAATAA